AAGCCTGCCCCGAGTTACCTAGTTTACGTGGGTCCAGCCATGCAGGGAGACCGAATTGATGTCTTATAACGAGTCCTAATTTCTGGAGAAGGAGATCTAATTGGCCCAGACTGCGTCAGGTGCTCACACCTGGCCAGACCAGCCGTGCCCTAGAGTTTGGGCTGTGTGGAGGGGTCATGTCCTGTACAGCTATAGCAGGGAGATGGGGGTTACTGGAATAGAAGGGAGGGCAGTTCTCTGAGCAGAAGGATTCACTTTTAACGATCAAGGCAACCCAGAAGGCGTCAAGGCACGGGGGTAAATTTTCTTTAAAAATTACGTGCCACTTGCAGAGGCGACACGCGTACGACAGCGTGACACAGAAAGGTTAGCTGTAAAAGGATAGGCCAGGTTTATCAGGCAAAGGCAAACCCAGAGAAAGAAGGGCTGGCAACATAAATATCAGAGTGAGGGGACTTCATTCAATAGGACAGAAAGGGTCCCTTAATGTTGATAAGAGGTGCGAGCCCCAAAGAAGACATCAGCATCAGGCGCCTTTTTGTGTTGAATAATGTAGCTATGAAATACACAAAACCAATTCTATGGCGAATCTAAAGAGAAAATGACAGGAACACAACAGGAGTGAGGAGACCACAATCCACCTCCCTCGGTCGCTGACAGATGAAGCAGGCAAAGAATGAATTAGGATAGAGAGGAACTGAATAATGTATTTCCTGTGTCTGATTTAATAAATGTATGCCAATTTTGTACTCTACAAAACAAAATATACCTTTTCTCTAGGTACTCATGAAACATTTACAAAAATTGACCATATATATCAGCCCACAAAGGAAAATCTCAGTAAATTCCCCAAAGCAGAAATTGAACAGGCCCTGTTTTCTGACCAAAATACAATAAAATGGAAAATTAATGGCATAAGTTCAAATCAACAAATCCAAACACTTTGAAATTTAACAATACTCGGGAGCTCTGGGTTAGAGGAGATCAAGGCTGTGATTACAGATCCTTTAGGACAGGACAACAATAAGAACATTCTGTATTGACGCTCATGGGATAACACCAGAGGCAGAGGGAATGCTACAGTTTTAAACTAATAAAGTTTAAAAGGTCCAGTGGATTTATTTAAGAAAAGCCCTGCTGGTGTGGCTCAAGTGGTTGAGCGTTGACCCGTGCACCAAGAGGTCGCCAGTTCGATTCCCAGTCAGGGCACATGCCCAGGTTGTGGGCCAAATCCCCAGTGGGGGGCGTGCAGGAGGCAGCTGATCCATGTTCTCTCTCATTGATGTTTCGATCTTTCTCTTCCTCTCCCTCTTTCTCTCTAAAATCAATAAAGAAAAGAAAAAAATTTAAAAGGAAATTACAAATTTAATTCACAGTCTGAAAACTTGAATGAATCAATGTGCAAGGAATAAGTTGCCATGCATGCAAGGCAGTAGGCATAGTGGTTAGGGTTATGGTGCCGGCCTGCCTGGGTTTGCATCCCGGCATCACATTCGGGCAAATGAGTCCACCTCTCCTAACCTCAATTTCCTTAACTCTGAATTGGTGATGGTACTATCGACCTCCCAAAGCTGTTATGCAATCAACAAAACAACAAGCCCATCCCCACAGTATTATTAGGACTCTCCAAAAGACAGCAGGCATTTTTATTTTTCATTCCTTCAGACTTCCAAAGAACAGATATTTCATATGCAATATTAATAGTTTCAAGCCATACAGAAAGATGAGACACTATTCATTTGACTTTACATCATTATCTTGATATAAAAAGCTGACACGTAGGCACAAAAAAATACCAATTTTCTCTGTGAATCTATGAATTAAAAAGTATGTGCAAATAAAATCCGGTGTTGTGATGGAAGAATAAGACACCAAAATCAGAGGAGGTATTGGCCAGGAACAGATGAATGGTCTAATACGAGGAAATCTATCCACTTCGCCTCGTCGCCAGGCTGTGCTGACCTAGACATGCTGCTTTTAGTTATTCACTTAAGGACATGAGACATGGCCAAAGATTTGTGTTCAAGGCTATTTGGTGTAACATTATTAAACTTTTAAACAACCTAAATACACAACAATAGGGGAATTCTTAAGCGCGCGTGTGTGTGTGTATATATATGTATATATTATATATATAAAATAAACATATTACTTATATTTTAAAGAATATTTGAAAACATGGAAATATATTCCAGATATGCTGTCCACTAAGTATAAAGGAAACAGGTTAAAAATAGTGCATATAGCTCTGGCCGGTTTGGCTCAGCGGTAGAGTGTTGGCCTGAGGACCAAAGAGTCACAGGTTCGATTCTGGTCAAGGGCACGTACCTTGGTTGGGGTTCAATCCCTGGCCCTGGTTGGGGTCATACTGGAGGCAACCAATCGATATGTCTCTCTTACATTGATGTTTCTCTGTCTCTCTTTCTCTCTGTCTCTCTCTCTCTTCCCATCCCTCCCTCTCTCCTACTCTATCTGAAAATCAATAGAAAAATATCCTTGGATGAGGATTAAAAAAATAAAAGTATATATAGCATTCTTATATATGTGGAAACTATGCATATGTATGGGTGTGTATGTGTACATATATGTGTGAACATTTAGGTTGTTTCCTTTCTTTTGCTGCTACCAACACAATGCAAGGAATAACCTCACATTCGTTACTTTGCACACTGGTGAAGATCAAATCACCATCGTTTTCTCCATTTTAAGAACTATAATCTAATTCTCACTGTTCTCAAAATGAAAAATGCTACAGGTTATTCACGCAATACTGAGAGAGAGAGAAAGAACATACATATAGTAATTTATAGGGGGAAGAAAACAAAAGAAAATACAATAATATGTCACTGTGGCAATTATGACTCTATTCGTGGAATATGAGAAGTGTTTCTCTCTGACACCATTCAACCTGGGTTCTCTCATTTCTTGCATTGGTCTCTTTGATGCTGCTATATTGCTGAGAAACAAATCAACAACAACAACGACGAAACAATGAAATTGGTTTTCTCTTTGCCTCTGGAGGGTAAGCAGAAAAAAAAAATCTCTCCTTTATCTCCCTTCCTGGATCCTCTGCCTCGCTTCAGTCCAGATGCAGAACAAAATTGGTTCAACCTTTGGCAAATGTTTTTTCCCTGGATATAACTTAATATTCTGTCTTAGGAAAGGAGAATATCTTCATGTGAGAAATTCTGGCTTCCTTCCCAAACCCACACCCCCTTGGATAACATCCATGGCTATTTAAAGAGTGTTCTGAACCAATGGAATGATGTAATGGTTTTATTGGTATGGAAAATTTTGTCTGGTAGGAGTACAGAAGATGATTTGTCTTAGAAATGGCCAGAGATTAGAGCTAAGGGAAATCTGAACAAAAAGATACATTGTGGGCCTGGACTTAGGAGTTGGCTGTAAGAACAGGATTTGGGGATTCGTTGGATATGGAGGGTGAAGGGAGGGGAATGGTGACCAACAACTGAAGTTTCCATCCCAAGCCCATGGAACGTTTTCACCATAGACAGAAGCCTGAACATTGCAGAAAAACATGACAAGCTCACTTTGGGTTCTAATAGTTTGGGCTCAGGGCTGGAATTTCAATGAGATGTCCATAAGCATTTAAAAAATTTAACCCCGCAGACCAGCGGGACCCCCAGCTGGAGGTGTAGATTTGAGAACTATCAGTTTGGGCAAGAAGGTAGAGCCTACGCCTTCATGAAGACACCTCACCCCGTGGAGCAGTGGTATTTGGAGGAGAGAAGAGGGAAGGGGACCTAGTGAAGGAGCTGAGGGATGAGCAGCCAGAGCATACAAGGCCAGGGGTAGGAAAGATGGTTTCAATAACAAGGTGTAAGGAAAGGAGAACAGATGTAGCCCTAGGATGATGGCAGAGCTCTGAGCCATGGTTTAGATCCACTAAAGCCAAGACCTCATGCCTCCTCTTCCCCTGGCTTCAATTGAAATGGGATGCATTGAAAAAAAACAAAAAGACAATGTTGAATTTAAGCAATAATACAGTGTTAAAGTGTGCTTTAGAAATGAGCCAAATCTTCATTCGGTTTTAGAAGTGCTTAGAAGGTTTAGTCTTCGTGGACTTTTGCATTATTAATTAAAATACATGGTTTTTGTTCATTATTATTATTATTATTATCATTTTTTAATCCTCACCCAAGGATATGCTTATTGATTTCAGAGAGAGAAGAAGGGAGAAAGAGGGAAACATTGATGTGAGAGACACATTGGTCGGTTGCCTCCCGTATGCACCCCAACCAGGGATTGAACCCACAACCTAGGTATGTGTCCTGACCAAGAATCGAACTGTGACATTTTGGTATATGGGATGACACTCCAACCAACTGAGCCACACTGGCCAGAGCAAAATAAATGTTTTTTTGTTTTTTGTTTTTTGTTTTTTAAATATCGGGCTGTGTTGTTTATAAGCAGGGCACAGCCCAGGACCCAGGACTCACAATCCCAGGCTGAGGACAATTCACATCACCTGGCTGCACCTCAGCATGCACTCAGACACCTGTGTATAAAGACTTGGGGCAAATCAAAGCCTCATAAGGTGTAAGCACCTCAAGTTAGGGCATCCTCTTCCTGGCTAACCACACCCTAATGCCCCCGCCCAGAGAAGGACCTTCTTCCCCCGCCCAATTCTCCACTGCACTTGCCAAATGCCTCCGAGGATTGTCCTTCCCCTCCACCCCCACCCACCCAGGCAAAGCCGCTATTGCTGGTCAGCCAGGTCCACAGATGTGGGTGGGTCACCATGGAGACAGAGGAAGCCCCGAGGCAGAAGGAGACACACAGAACAGCAGAGGAAGGTTCTCTGGGCCTAACACACTGTCCCCTGCCCTCCACGTTGCTATGATTTCAGAAGCCCTGCACCCTTTGGAAGTGCTTCATCGGACCCAGAGAAGCACATCAGAGGCCAAGAGAAGTGCTGTGTTGGAGAGACAGCGGAATGCCTGACTCTTCTTTAAAATGTTCTTTTCTGTGATTTTCAGGTGATCATCAGTATAACCATCTGGTTTTAAGCAGTGCTACCCAGACCCCTACACATGGTGAGAGTACTCTGCATTCCACCCTCATTCCAAGCGGCTCCATCCTAACTGCCGATGCCTAGCAAGGCATCACACACACGGTTCTGACTCGCTGCGGCGAAGGAGGTGTGAGGGCCACGCTGCCTGCTCTCACTCTGAGACCTCGGGCCCCTCAGGGTTCTGGCTCTGCTGTCAGAGTGATCCTCCAGCGTGAAGGAGAAGCAGCGAGTCCCTTTCTTAACCCATTTCCGCTTGCAGTCTAGATCACTCTTGCTGCCATCAACTCCGTGTGTCCACAGCAAGGAGGGAACACTCTCTTTTGCCCCGGGCTACTTGTGGTACCATTTAAAAATGACATGAGACTTGGTAAATTGCACTGATCCTCCCCACGCTGGTTAAGATTTGATAAAACCCAAAACCAAACGGGGGGATTTACGCTCCCGCCTCTCGGCAGGGAAAGAAGGTGAAAGTCGGAGGGCGAAGGAATGTCAGCGTAGTGCCACAGGGTGAGAGGCCACCTTGCCCTCTTGGGCTGTAACATCCTCCCTCCAAATGACAACTTCACACTGGGACCGCGGAGCAAAACTAGTTTTGGTACCTGCTGCGAATTTGATGGAACATACGACAGCCATGAAAACTGTGGCTACTGGTCACTCCTCTCTGTTCGAAAGAATGTGAACACATCACTCGGTGTCAGTGAGAGAGAAACTCAGAACAAAGACGAGCCCGGCAGCTGGCCCGGCAGAGACCTACCGCCCTCACGTGAGATGCTGCTGCTCCAGTCAAGGCTGAGGAGCACTATAGTTAGGAAGGCAGAAGTGGACCATTCTGACGTCCACCTCCAGTGCCGGGCTCCTCGTGGCGATAAGTGATGACGAAAGCAACAGTTTAATAAGCTGTTTCAGGTGGTGGGGTCTAAGAACAAATGAGAACTGGGAGAAATGCAAGAGATCAGTTCAAAGTCGGCATCGTTGCTCATGCATCGCCACTTCTAGGAACGGTGGTGTTGCCAGTGGGAATCGAAAGGGTTCACACATAAAACATTTTGGAGAGAGAATTGGGAAAACTTAGTTACGAGCGGAATATGGCTGATGAGGGCCGATTATGAGTGAACTGTGATTAATTAGATGGATGGGAAGGTGTCTTATGAACACGATCAAAGGAATAAGGAAAGCAGGGGACGGAGCTATCGATGGTGAGTTTGGGTCTGGACAGCTAGGGCTGGATAGGATCATAGGATATGCAAGAAAGATCATCCAACAAGCAGTTAGAAATGCATCCGTGAAGCCTGGAGGGAGCTTACAGCTGAAGGCATAAGGTATGCTTTGGAAGCCGTAACAGAAGCCAATCTGCACGAGAAGGCTGACGGAGAACGGCGGAAGGCAGAAGCAGGGCGCAGGGTGACGACGCAGCAGCAGGGAGAGAAACCAGAGAAGGCAGGTGAAGAATGCCCCCCTCTCAGCGACCTTCTGAAAGAAGCACCATGTGCTGCTTTCCCCCAGGAGCCAACAGAAGCACAGCCTCCTGATGACAACCAGAGAACTCACTTTTCCTCTCCCGCTTCCCATTTTCTTTTTCTTCCTGGCGTCAGGAGAGGTGGTAGAGACCTGGCCCCTGCCCTGGAGTGGCTCACAGCCTAGCGGAGGCAGGTGTCCTCTGGATTCTGTCCTTGGATGCGACGCTTTCCCCAGCAGCTGCCAGAGCAACTATTAGCCAACAAGGCGACACGTGTCCACCCAACTGACCGAAGAGCATTATTCGGATCCTTATTTTGAGCCAAACACTACGAAGGTGTCAGAAAAGATTGGAAAGCAGGAATTCTTCTGTCAAGGGGGCAGCAATCTTTGGAGATCAACGAGATCCGCTCCGGTGAAAGGCTCAGTGAGCACGTGGGCATAAACTGAATGGGATCACCTAGAAGAGCAACAGGGCTTTGAAGACTAGAAACCGCCGTGGGCTAAAGAGATGTGAGGCTGTCAGAGCAAAGAGTCTTGAGTGAAGGGAGAGTTTGGCTAGAGAAAGAGGAAGGAAGGGCATTGTGACAGGAGGAAAAGCCCGGCGCAAGGGCAGCCGTGGGGGAGGCAGGAGGCAAGGGAGACCTGTGTTGGCTCAGTGGCATGTTTGGGAGAACAGTGCAGGATAAGAGCATCCAGAAATGTTGCATTTGGAAGTGGGAGAGCCGAATGATGCCCTCGCTGGGAGTCTAACACCAACAGGCAGAGGGAAGTTCATTCTCCTCCAGCGTGGCCAAAAGTGAAGAAGCCAGAGCTCAGGGGCGGGTGGCTAGCCCCCCGCTCTGGGTCGCAATGCTCTCAGCTCCTGCCCACTCCACTTCCTGGCATCTGTCCTGGTCCATGCCAGGGCGGCTCTTTCTCCACAGCATGTTCTCATCTCTCAGGGAGGCGAGCATCCCCCACCCTCTCGCCTTGGGCTGCGTGAACCAGCTCATTGGCTAGGCTTCCTGTCTTCGTCCCCAGAGTTGTGGGGACCAGTGAAGGCAGGACAGGACGAGAAGCCAGGAGTTCCCTGTATTGCAAATACCCTGAGGCTAAGCCTAGGAGTGCCTCTTTCTGTCCCACCGCTCACAGAATCCCTGTCTTCTAGGTTTTAGCACTCTCTTTGCCAAGAGGGATGGGGAGCCACATCCTCTGTTACATTTGTCCAAAGTTAGAGTCAGCCCCTTCCCGGGCGTCCCAAACCAAAGTGGATGGAGGGATAGTGTGAGAACCTCTCACCTACCTCATTTCTGGGAATGGTACCACTGTCTCCCCAGGAATACCTGTTGACTTCTTGCTGTGCTTCAAGTCAGCCAAGCACCAAGACATCTGTCTTCCTTCCCCAGATCTCCATTCCCTTCTGTCCTCCATGTGCATGGTCACCCCCTTGCCCGTACCTGCATCTCTCCCCCCCTCGTCTCCAATTCCTGTGCTATTTCTACTCTGGTCCCCAGAGCCCGGTTCAGCTCAGTGACCTCATCCATCATTCACTTTCTCTCTCATCTTTTCTTCTATTCCTTTTCCTACTCTTTCACCCATTGAACAACACCCTCTGCTCTCTCTTCAGATTTTGAAATCTCAAGGGTCTAACTCCAGGGAAGGAGGGAGAAAGGGGGATGCTGTGCTGAGCAGCTCTGACTACATTGTTTCCTCCCGCCTCCCAGAGATAGCTGAGGGGACTTACGGGAAGCGAGTGGAATAGGAGGACATGGTTTTGCAGCTCACACTGGCGTGTCCGGGCAGGGCTTGGAGGGCCCGGGGCAGAAGGGGCGAGGTGAGGGATGAAATGACATCACGGACAGTGTGGGCTGGAGTCTCGATGGAGCCAGGTCTTAGACCCAGTTCTGTGGGTATGTAGAGAAGACCAGTCATTGCTCCTCCTTCAAACTCAGATGCTTTCTGAGCCAGGAAACTAGGCTTGCCTAACATTATTGGGGAAAGGACAGAAGCGTCATGCCCAAACAGATCATTTTACAACCCATGCCCCCCCGCCCCAGCTCCATCAGGCATATGTGTCATCAGGCTGCCCGGCGGTGTACCAGAAGGAAGGGCAAACTGCCATCGTGGCCGTTGGTGCAGATGACACTGCACCTGCACCCAGGCTTGTTGACAGCTGGAACTGAGCACGAGGGAAACTGAGTCACCAGCACCATGCGTGCCCTAGCACATGGGGCCAGGAAAGCGGGATGGGATGCACGATAGAGCCCGGACCTTCCCCTCCCGCCCTCCCCACCTCGTCCTCACTGATGTGCTGCGCCCCTCCCTTCTTTTGCAGAGAAGCCACGAATGAACAACATCCTGACATCCGCTACGGAGCCCTATGACCTGTCCTTCTCCCGCTCCTTCCAGAACTTGGCCCACCTGCCTCCGTCCTACGAGTCTGCGATGAAGACCCACCCCAGCAAGTACTCTTCCCTGAAGAGGCTGAGTAAGTGGGGCTGTCCTGGGGCTGTCTCTGGAGCCTCCAGGTCCTCCTCCTGCGTCTCGCGGTCTTGCCCTGCACTTGGAGGACTGGTGTGGAGTCCCCAGAATAAAGAGCGAGGGCAGCATGGAAGACGACTATAGACCAGCCCTTTGTTTCTGGTCCTTGGGGCCTGAGCTTAATCTCCCTGTGGATAGAATGCGGGATCCTCAGGGCCGCATTCCCATGGGAGGAAGGCAGGAGGGAACCTTTCCCCACACTTACCACCCACAAACCAGGGCCCTGCCTCAGCCGCACGATCTTGGAGTAGAGGCTGCAACACCTGAGTTTTCTCTGAGACTCCTCCCAGAGACCCAGCTGTGTAAGGGCCCATACACCCCTCCCCCTCTAATCCAGCCAACACTGTCGTGAGGACCTGAGACTCCCCACTCCTAAACACACACCCCATGTCACCAGTTGAGTCCAGTTCATCCGATAATCCCAGCTCTGCATCTGCGTCTGGGGAGGCTCTGGGGATCGGTGGTTTAGGACACGGCGAGGTCTAGAGGCGCGGGGTGAGAGAGCTCCTCTCTCCTGCCTTTCCGAGCCTTGGGACTCCTGCCCCCATTTCCCCGTGCTGCCCCGCTGCAGGGCTGAGCATTTGCTGGAAGCTACAGGTTAACCTGCCATGACAGAAGTTCAGCCCTTGCGTCCCTGACAGCCACCTCCACGGGTAAAGGTGCACGGCTAGGAGTGGGCACCCCCAGTGACCGAGGAATCAGACGCCTGGGCTGAGAACAGTTCGCTCAGGAGGCAGGATCCACGCATCCGTTCCCCTCTGGGAAAAACGAAGAGCAGTCAGCATTCCCATATTCTGCAGAGATCCGAAAGTCTGTCTGTGGGAAGCCACATTCCTAAAATGGGGGGCAGAACAGGCTCGAGTGTATCCCAGGTGTGTTCAGGGTTGGGTGGATCTGGGAGGGCTCCTGGGTGGAGACAAGCGTGCAGCGTGTGGATGAGGGGCAGCCGGTTCCGGCCCGCTCGCGGTGTGGGCACAGGGGCGTGGTAGGCGTGATTCTGTGGTGTGTGGGGACCAGGTGCCCACGTGTCGGCTTCCTGTGCATTGGCTCTTACTCCAGAGAAAGTGTTACTACGTTCCTAAGTTACCAGCTAAGCATTTTCACAAGTGCCTCCTCGTTGGGGAATTTTTATTCTAGCAGGAAGCTGGCTCTGCAGCCCAGCTCCCCCGGAGAGAAGCTCTAAACCTCTGGAATGCTGCCGGCTGGCCCCTGAGGGTTTCAGCAAGACCGGGGCCATTCTGGGTCAGGACAGGACTGGTCCAGCAGCATTGGGGCAGGGGTTCAGGGCTGGGCTTGTCCTCCATGAACCCCCTGGGGACTTGGGAGCCCCTGAACCCCTGGATACTCAAGGTGGGCCTAGGCAGGGCATGAGCGTTGCCTGGGAGCTGACTCTCAAGCCAGCCCCGACCCAGGAGGTCGGAATGAGCACCTGCCTTTAACAAGATCTCTGGGGACTCCTTTGTGCATGATTGGAGAAGCACGGCCTCCACCTGTGTGGGTGGCAGGGCTCTGGTTCAGTGCCGGCTGCCGTGTGCTGTGTGCTGTCACTTTGTCACCCCAACAGACTGCTCTCTGTGTCTCTCCTGCAGCCGACAAGGAGGCTGATGAGTATTACATGAGGAGGCGGCATCTGCCTGACCTGGCCGCCCGCGGCACCCTCCCCCTCAACGTCATCCAGATGTCCCAGCAGAAGCCCTTGCCTCGAGAGCGGCCCCGCCGGCCCATCCGCGCCATGTCGCAGGACAGGGTCCTGTCCCCGCGGCGGGGCCTGCCCGACGGCTTCGGCATGTCCTATGACCGCATCCTGTCCGACGAGCAGCTGCTGTCCACCGAGCGCCTGCACTCCCAGGACCCTCTGCTGTCCCCGGAGCGGACGGCCTTCCCCGAGCAGTCCCTGTCCAGGGCCATCTCGCACACGGACGTCTTCGTGTCCACGCCCATGCTGGACCGCTACCGCATGACCAAGATGCACTCCCATCCCAGTGCCTCCAGTAACTCCTACGCCACGCTGGGCCAGAGCCAGACGGCAGCCAAGCGCCAGGCCTTCGCCTCGCGCAGACACAACACCGTGGAGCAGCTGCACTATATCCCCGGCCACCACACCTGCTACACAGCCAGCAAGACCGAAGTGACCGTGTGACCGACGGGACAGGGCCGGGCACCTGGCAGGGCAGGGCTGGGCAGGAGGGACCTGGCATGGAGCTTCCTTCCCTTGTTCCTTCTGCAGGAGGTTGGGGTGGCCTGTCTTGGCCCAGGAAGCCATACTCCCCGGACACAGCCCGGTGGCCTGGCGCAGATGTTCAGACCTGGGATCCAGAGCAATCCCTCACTCTCCCAGAAGAGCCAAGGGGACCGAGGAGAGGGGCTCGGCCCAGTCTCACCTCCCCCTCATCACCGGCTCCCTTGCAGCTCCATTGTCCTCTCCCCCTTCCAGGGGCTCAGCTGCAGGTCTCTCAGCCCGGAGCCCCTGGCCTGACCCTGGTCGAAGCTGCCTGGGGTTTTTGGGTTTTATTTTTAAATATTTTTTAATTGATTTTAGAGAGAGAGGAAGGGAGAGAGAGATAGAAACACCAATGTGAGAGAGAAGTATCGATCGGCCGCCTCCTGCACACCCCCCACTGGGAATCGATCCCGCAACCCGGGCGTGTGCCCTGACCGGGAATCGAAGCGGGAATCAAACCCAGAATCAAACCGGGACCTCTCAGTCCACGGGAAGACGCTCAGTCCACTGAGCCACACGGGCTGGGCAAAGCCGCCTGGGTTCGAAGTGGCCAGAGGGTGCAGTCAAGGGGCTGATGGGACAGGCTGCTCGGTCTCACTCATTCACCTAGCACCGCATCACAGGAATCTTCCAGTGCCTACAAACTGCCTGCTGGCTCTCCAGACGGAGCCGCTGTGTCCACAAGCACAATGACGATTTCCTCCGCCTGCTGGGACTCTCTGGTCCCCACGGAGTGGCCCTTCCTTTGCTGACCTCCCCCCAGACCGCACCGTGCCCCCCGCCCCTCCTCCAAGCTGTGGAGAAGGAGGGGTTCCCTTCCTTCACCTGCCCCCACTGTTGGGAAGCCTGCCCCGTTCCAGCTGGCTGTACTCCCACAAGGTCCCCTTGGCCCCTGACCTGGGGACTATGCCCCTCCCTTGGCCCCAGTGTTTCACCCCTGGACTCCCTGGAGCTCTGCTCCAGCCCTCCCCCCCTCCCCCCTACCCCAACAACCCAGTGATCTCCACACTTCCTCCTGGCCTTTACGTCTGAACTATGACCCCGCCACTCAGGCCTGCCTTCCCCTCCCCACTCTGCTCCTTAGAGGCATCTGCCAAGGCCAGAGAGCTGCAGGTGGGGAGGGCCACTGTGACGCCCTAGGTCTCAGGGGCTCGCCATTCCCATCACCCAGGGCTCCACCTGTCTCCCTCCATGCGCGTCAGGCAGGATGGAGACAGAGGCTTCCGAAGAGGGGCAGCCTGGCCCCGGGCAGGAGGGCCTGCGGCGGTTTCCCGCACCTGCCCGCCCCTCTCCCATCACTGCCCACCATCTCCCTGCCCTTGGTTGGGAGTTTGCTCTCTCTGCCCGTTTCCCTTCCCCCACGGGGTCCTCCTGCAGCTCCATTCTCCTCTCCCCTCCTGCTGCCGCTGCTTCAGACCAGTGCCTCCTGGGGTCAAAGGGACAGAGACTCATTAGCAAATGCAAATAACAGTACTTAGGGAGATTGGTCTGGGGCTAATGAGGCAGTACCCCAGTCCCTTCCCTGCAGGGGGCACTAGGGCACCAGGCAGATCAATTCCCTCAGCTCTGTTGGGGGACTGGCCCCTGCCAGCCTATCTCAATCCCTTCCTTGCCTCCGGCCTGGGGGTGGGCAGGATGTGACAGCCTCCTGGAGAGTGGACAGTGAGCTAAGCGGGATCCACTCCTTCAAGACCAGAGCCAGCGGGGAGAGAAGGGGCTCCCCCATCCTCCGGGCCAGGGCACCTCCCTGGGCTGGGGCTGGAGAAATCAGCTCCAAACTACTGGGTGAAGATCTGATATTAAAAATGTGACTCGCCATTGTCAGGCTCTGGAAACAATGACCTTGAACTGGGATTTTAGATTCCTTCAGTTCTGCATATACTATGTATGGCCGAAGGGAGGTGAGGCTGGAGCAGGGAGAACCGCCCAGTGTCAGCCCTGGGAATTTCTAATCTAACCAAGTCCACAATCCACGGAGAAATCAATGGACTGATTCCTCTTACTTAAAGAATTCCAAAGCTCTTGTTTCCTCCCAAGGCTCCCCGTCACATAGTCATGAGGGTAGGAAGGCTCAGGGTGATGAACACCGCCCTCAGCTGCTCCGCTGGGGTGGTGTCACTGGTGTCGTGAGGCTGTGAGGACAGGGATGACTCTGCTTTCTTCCCCTACAGACACATAAACCTTCTCAAGGGCTGGCCCCAGGGGTTTATGAGAGTTTGTTCCGGAGGGGAGGCGCAGGGGGCTGGGCTGGAGGAAATCAACCTCGACAGAGCAGTTGAAATAGAGCAGAGAGCCACTCCCAGAAACGAAGGTGTGTCTCCCACAGCTGGTCCTCTAAACCCACCGCCCTCTCATCCATCTGTGGGCCAGTCCCCTTGAAGGCTGCCTATTGGTGCAGAGGCAGAGGGACGGGGGTGGGCGAGACCGGCCCCCCGTGACTGACTGTACACACATTCAGGCCAAACCAGGAACCTAGTCTCTCTCTTCCTTCGAGAAGCATCTTCTTCCACCCAGCTCTCCAGCCCTCAGGATGACACTCCTAGACCCTGTCTTTCTGTCTCAGGGGTTGTCTGATAGGTCCATTCCAAAATGTTTCTCATCCAGCCTTACCGCTATCCAGTTTCAACTCTCTGGTGTCAGTCGGATCAGAAAATTCTACCTGAGCCCTAACTTCTTTGCAGTGATTCTTCTGCTCCAACCTTGGATCTGGAAGGAAGGCAGGGAAGAGAAAGACAGACGTCCACAAACTTGCTCCAATTAGTTTCCTATTTCAAAATCCATCAAAGTATGTCTTAACTAGGACACCGAAGTATCCCATTGATTCAGTCGGTCCATCCGTGTTTGCAGAACAAGCAAAGCCGTATTATACTGGACAAGCTCGTGGAGCAGATAAGAGAGGGTTCTCGGATTAGAACCCAGATGTCATGACTTCAGCCCCACCGGGCCCTCCCCCACAAGGAGAGTCCCCCTCCCCAGCAAGGGAAGCCCAGAGTCCAAAATGCTCTTCTGCTTGTTTTGTTCGTTGTGTGAGTCTCCACTGCTCTGATTGGACTGGGGGCTGCACCTGCTCTCTCCTGTCCAGACGGCTCTTGCCGGTCTCCTCGGCCTTCGATGACAGTGACGCTCTCACAATCCTCACGCCCTTCCACCTTTCCCACCTTGTTCCTCCGGCTAACTCTTGACCCCACAAGTTCCTAAGTCACCAAGGCTTTCCCAAGAATTCTCTTAACCTCCTAACTGGCTCCCCAGTGTCTCGAGTGATGGGTTTGCCTTCTAGAAAGTTCCACGTCTTCCCTTAATTCAAATTTCTCCTTCCCCCTTTCCGCTCTTCCACCCCAGAACCCTTGTCGTAACCTCCGTCTTTCATGCCAGTTCCGTCTTTCTTTCCTCTCATCTCCCTGGCCTTGCCCCCCTCCTCCACTTAACCTTTCTCCATCCCTAACTTCTTTTGGTCTCGCTGTACTCTCTAGTGGTAACACCGAGAGCCCCAGTGAGAACAGTCGAAGAATGAGGCCTTCTTCTGGTCTGCTTGCCTCACTGTTTATCCTTCACCGCCTGCCCCTATGAGATGGTACCCCAGGGGGCGGAGCCAAGGGCTCTCCCACTCTGATCTCCAGGGGGGAAGCAAGAGAAGCTGCCCTGTCAGAGGCATCGCAGTTCAAAGGTCAGCTTGGGCTCCTGCAGCTGGCGAGTCCCGGAAGCTCCTGCCCCAGCCTGCCACTAGCCCACAGGCTCCTGCTCTGGCCAAAGATTCATATCCTTGAGGGCTCTTGGCCACTGTTTCACACCTGTCCTGCTTCTGTGTGTCACAGATCTCCCTTTGTCCCAAAGTACTGGATGGCCTCGTGACTCAAGTACCCATTCCAACAATGCCACCGCCAAACAATCCATTTTCTTCAGATACCTTGTCTGCCACTAGCCTCCCATCCTCTGGTTTCGTCCATGGGCAGCTGTGGACTTGACGCAAGGTATTCTGGAAGGGCTGCTGATGACCCGGACCCTGGAAAGCCCCTGCTCTGGGAAGCGTTGACGGGTCACCTCCCATTTACATCCCTCCACCATCTTCCCCAGCCTGGGAAACTTCGCTCTGAAGTAGTTTCAAGGAAGCTTGTGTGTTCTAATGAAGTATTTTTCAGGGTTCAAATGTTATTTTTATAAATGCAGCATTTTAATGACAGATTCGGTATGAAAGATGTGTCTTCCTGGGCTCTGTATTTGATTTCCGAAGGAAGCATGCTCCAGGAGAGACGAGCTCGGGGTGGACTTCTGCCCGGGCTTTGTCTCCATCTCGCCATGTGACTGAGGACGAGTCACATTCTCGCTCGGTGCCTCGGTTTCCTATAAAACGAGGGGCTTTGACTAGATGAGCTTTGAAGTTTCATCCAGCTCTTCCGTGCTAGGGCTTCATTAACCATTGGCCCCTGCCCTTCTTCACATTCCTCCCCACTTCATCTGAGCTGCATGCATCTCACTAAGGCTGCCCCTTGGTGACACCCTTAGGTGCCCTCGACAGCCACCAGACTTCACCAGAGCCTGGGGCGGGCCCCCTGGTCTTGGCCACCTAGGGATACTCATATCGGAAGGTGTCAGGGCCTACCCATTCAACAGGTTACTCACCATGTGTCATGGAAGTCCTCACATATAGACACAGCTATATCATCTGGGGTGTCTGTATCATTGGGAAATCCTGAATTTGAAATTTTCACTTTGATGTGGACCTTAAAGCTGGAGGGAGGGAGTTCCGATTTCAGGGAGGGGATGGGCTGAGGACAAAGGTCCGGAGGTTGGCCTCCAAGGACATAGAGTTTGTATTTGAGAGCAGTTGGAAATAAAATCCAAGCCACAGAGGAGAATTCACGGCAGAGGCTCTGTGTGGCACTGGATGTTATATCCCGCCTCAGAACCTGTGTCCTGAAGGA